ATATTCTCAGCACCTGTGAAATACATGATCGCTATCTGAGGAGAGCTGTCGGGTTTTCACGGTCACCAAAGAAGACAGCCTGGCTGTCGGCACTTCCATCAGTTACAAAGGTAAATTCCAGAGGGCCAGGGAGCTGGGACTCGTTTGTGAGCAAATGGAATCAGCTATCAGCCACCAAAATCCTGCCCAGTCATTGCTTTTCTTTTCTTGTCTTCCCACAATTCCTGACTAACTCTCTTCCACACCATGGTTAGAATATTCAGTAAAGAATTCAAGGCAGTATGAACATCAAAAGCCTCAGAAATGAATTTTCTGCGTTGTAACTTCAAGCATAAAACCATTCTGCAATATCCAGCATAGATGCTGTCTGCAGCACTGAAGTATTTTTGCTAAGATGACAATGTGTTTTGCCTGAAATTCCAACAAGGTTTTTTAGAGTAGGTCGTACTTTAGTTTGTTGCTGTTTTGATTGTTCGTTGAAAGGATATAAAAGAGAAACTGATCCCAACTTTCAGCTTAGCTGTATTTGCTATCCTTTGACTTTTAACAAAGCATAAGGCAGCTCTAACATTAGATTAAGTATTTTTCGTGCTATGTTTTTTCCATTTACATCTCCTCATTTTCCCCTGAAGTTAACGTATCCCAAATCTACTGTGATCAAATTTCCTGGTAATAGATATTGCAATTAAATGGGATATTGTATACAGGAAATTCTTCTTGCTTTTAGTTTACAGTGCTGTGCAGCTGGCAATATTGATAATAATCCAATAATGAGCTGTTGAAAATTCAGCACAAAATCTATTGAGATAAAATTAATGGAAGCAGTTTTGTCGGAAGAAAGAAAATGACAGATTTTTCTGACAAGAGGAGATTGTATCTTTAATTATAAATCATGCAACAGTAAACAGTGCAGAAGACTTCCTGAGCCTGAACACATTATTGTTCACCTACTCCATTAGTACAAAAAAAAAAAAAAATCAGACCATTTACAGCTGCTCTCTTCGCAATAGTTTCTTTTAATGCTGCACGAATTCCCCTAGTAGGATAAAAATTACCACTCTACCACCTCAACATTAATATTTGTGTACTTGCCTAAGCACCAAGCTACCTTCTTATAATATTTCATCCAGAGACCATAACTAAATGAAGATGACTTCCTCAGAATGTGTGTTATTTCTCTCCAGCCTCATAGAATTCCAAAGACTTGGAAAAGTCCTTAAAGATCAAGTCCAACCACAACTTAACCATACTACCATAACTCTAACAACCCTCCACTAAATCACATCCCTCATGTTAAAGCAACATCACAACTGCACTGCAACAGAACTCAGAACCTCAGTGCTCTGTATTCCCACTCAACTGAATACAAAAATTATTCTAAATTATTCTTTACATATATTTTACTAAGAGATACAGAGAAGCATTTGTTGATTGCTGAGAACTTTATCAGCTGGAAACATCTTGACTGATGCAGTTTTACTTACCTTCCACAACTGTGGAGTTGAGTCACAGCTGAGTCAGTTCATGATGCTGGTTTGATTTTTTATATTCTTAGGGCTTTTCTGAGATGAATGCAGGGAAAGATGTTAAAACTTACAAGTAAATCTAATGCTGAATATCCTCAGCCAACTCTGTGTTTTCTTGCAGCTCACAACCAGGTTAATATGTTAAGCAGCTGTTCTGCTACTGAACTCATTATTAATGTAAGACAAGAACTGTATAGTACTTCTTTCAGAGTTGTGATCTGCATGATCATGAGCAATATATAAAGGTGTCATTTGTTTTAGTGTTCTTTATCAGTTTTTTCATTCACAAGTGAGTTTTTCCATGACTTAAATACAAATTACCAAGTTCTTTTTCTATGAATTTGGTGGGTTTGGATTTCATTGGGGTGCTTTTTTTTATTTTTGGTTACCTCACTCCCAACATAAACATTTACTAATCAGAGAACTGTGAGTAAACTGCAGCATTTTACAGACCACGCTGCATGTTGTGTATGTCTCTTACAAGTTTAACAATAACATTTCCTGATAGAGTACTATATCAAGCATAGTTATATAATGTAAAGTAAGCAAGACCGTTTCCCCCATGTAAGCAGGTCAAAGAGCTTGTAAATGTGTAGGAGAAACAATTTGCAATTACAATGAAATTTTGCTTATCCACTTCAGAGGTCTCTTTTGTGACATGAGAGTGATATAACAGCTGAATTATTTCTGTACGGCTTACAGGTCTTCGTGGAAGGAAACAACCATTTAATGTGAGAACATTAGATATTTTAACATTACACATTTTTGGTCATTTGTATTTATTCAGGATATAAATGACATTCCTAATGTTATTGTGTGGGAATATCTAATAAGAAGTATTTCAACCTATAGAACTGTCTGCCAAGGACAGGGGTAGGGCTTTGTTTGGTAGTAACAATTTCCCTCACACCAGAGTCTCACACAGATGGAATTAAAACCAACCAGAAAAGGCATTCATAGAAAAAATAGGCATTCTCAAGGAATAAGATATATACATATGCATATATATGAGACTACATTGAAGTATTATGTAAGTCACTAGGGAGTGGGATGGAAGGAAGCTAAGATGTGATTAGGCTATTTATTCTCCTTAGATTTTTTTATTTAAAATTAGAGGAATACTTTATCTTTACAGGAGATGCTAAGATGGTATATAAGGTTTTAATGGGCACATCTCATGTCAAATGAAAAGCAGAGTAGCAGGAATAACTATTTTTGTATATCTCCACAATTCTCAAAGATTACTGAAACAACGGACAATTTACGCACCGCTGTCTTAAAGGGCTTCTTATGATAACATCAGCTAACTGAACATGTATGCACAAGTAACCTGTATAGTCCCCAAGGAAGGAAGACATACGCAGTCACATTACCTGCTTTTTTGTCAGTGTTCCCTGTGATTGCAATTGAATCCCCTTCATTGAAATTCAACAGGAAGTTCAAAACTTGCCAATGGTGAGGTCTCAAAGTTTTAAGATTCTGGGAAATTTCACAGAAACGATAATCTAGAGAGAAGGGGAAGGATCTCTTCGCTGCTGCTGCTAATGAAGTTGTGGCTTTTCAGAAGAATTTTTGGGAGTGGGCAGAACTGCAAGATGTGAGGCCGCTCGCAACTGTTGCAATGACACTGCTGATAGAAGTAGTGTTTTTTTAGGGCTGATTTCATCCCTTCTTTTCATCCCGTGATGCTAACTTACCCATAGGTCACTATCAAGGATTTTGTTCCCTCTGTGTACTTTTATCAGCTCAGTTTGGAACACGCTTCGTATCTGCTTACATTACTGTTAAGCAAGAAAATAACTGTTACAAACACAAAATAGAGTCACAGTTCTAAACATAGCAAGTTAAACGTTATTTCAAAGAATTCCAGGAAAGAGCAACTTCAGGGTATTTCTTCTCCCCAGCCCTTTCTTAAGGGCCCAGAATTCTCAAAATCAATAGAAAAGGAGGTCAGGATGCAAAAGGCACGTTGGCACCACCCAGTATGCAGGAAAGGAGAGTGATCACGCAGCCTGCTCAAGTTCTGCCTGTAAGCTCTTTCCCTGACATACCTGTTTCCTCCTCAGTACTTCTGGTTTAAAGATGCCCCTGCGGCTTGCTGCTCAGCGAATGCTGCAGAAGGTGGTTCGGGTGGAGGTTTCTCTGATTCTTACTTGTGCAATATAGGAACTGCAGAGTAGGTAGAAAGAATTCACATTTCTGAATTGACACTCTCATGCTCCTTGAAGGAATGTAGAAAAGAAAAATGGTGTCTGCAAAATAAATCCAGCAGTTGAGGTCAGAGTCTTCCCTGGGTTTAAAATAAAGGCCTCAACGTTTTTGCCTGATGTGGGATTTTAATTGTATTGCATTCATTTCTCTTTTAAGGAAGAAAAGCTTCTGAAAGCACTTGTGCAGCTTGAGGTCCGCAGTGGAGTATCTGCCAGCCTGGAAATGGAGGTGGACGCGCTGCCCTTCTACAACACCCATTCAACCATGATTGAAAAACTGCTGCAAGAGGTGCAGCACTGACTGCTCCCTGCTGATTTCTACATCAGGAGATGATCCTAAGTCATTTCTTTATGTCCTAGGCTCTTTAAAGGTAAAAAAGGACCAGAAAAAGATGAGTCTGTGTCTCTTAAGTCTCCTTCATCTCTGGTGTCTTGCCAATGCACAACTTTTTATTATTGTCTTTACCAAATTTCTGTGAAATGGGAAGGAGCTATCATGATGATTCAGTCTACCTTTCTTTCATGTGATTTTATAATGGATATTAAAAGATATTACACACTAAGTGGTGATCTGGCGTTTACGAAGAAATCTTCTCATTAAAATGAAATACAATTACATTGCTGTTCCTGTTTTACTAACCTCATAACTGCAACAGGAAGTAAGTCTTGTAGCAACTTGGATTTAAAAATACCCTATGGTGGGGAGAACAGCTGCAGTGGAGTGTTCAAAACAAAACAAAAACCTGCAAGTGTTACAGCAGTAAAAAATGTTAAATACAGGTTTTTTGTACACTTCTTCCTTTAGCCCCTCTAGTACCATCTTCTCATGCTGGTGGGTCAGTGGTGGAAATGTGATGAGGTGAGTGGAGGGTTTTAATGAGAGTAAGGGCAGCCTTGCTGTGTAAGGGGAAGGCTGTACTGATCGCCTCCTTTATGTTACAAGTTTACCATTTGTAAATTTTGTCCCTTTCTGCATAATACAGAAATACTGCAAATATTTTACTCTTAACAGCAGGATACCATAAAGGAGTTAAATATATAGTGATAAAATATTCATGCTTAGAAATTAAAATACAATCAGAAATTAAAGAACTTTTGCATTCAGTTTAAAACAGAATTGTGTAAATAAGCATTTAGATCAATTCCAGTTATAAAAATACAGCTCTCAAGTAGACTGTTTGAAGAGCAACTAACATGCATCTCTAAAGCCTACAAACACTGAAGCAGCACGTGACAAACAGTTGTGCCTCATGCCTGGCTTACGTCATTTAAAGTTGTGCTGTTACTTCAACTCTAGGTAAGTGCCTCTGCTGAAGACCTGACAGATGTCAGCCCTCCCAGCAGACAGCACAGGCTGTGCTTTACACTGCACACACAGACACCGATGCTTAACCTGTCATAAAAAGATGATAGTGGTACAAAATGAGAGTACTGAGCTATTGTGCTTCAGCAGGATCAGGATGGTGGTTCTGTTTAGCCACTGCTATTTCCAAAGGACAGGGGTACTTCAGCAGGTAGCAACATCCTCTATCTACTTCTATGTTCCTCCTCTTATGTAAGACAAGCACATAGCTCTTTGAGAATGAGAAAATTCAGTTTGTACCACAAACACCAGCATTCATTTTCTGAGCTCCCCGAAGATACACAGCCCTTCAAGGCTCACAGCGGCTGAACATGTACGAGAGAAAGAAACCTTAATGCCAGAATGCTGATACACATTCAGATTTGCTCCCAGTGGTCACTTTATGGCACATAACATTAACTTTGTCCAAGGAACATTGATTTAATGAACTTTCACTCTTTTCTTTCTAACTATAAGCTTTAACAGGTCTTGCTAAGAAATAGACAATGTGTGTGTGTTTTTGAAATCCCTTCTCCTCCGCCATCCCAAGCCCCATATTCATTCCAATGCTAGTGTGCAGCTTATCTCCAGCAACCCTTGCTCTCATCCTTGTTCAGGATGAAATAGAAGGGCTCTGAGGGTTATGTTCCTCCCGTGGTGGTTACAGTTCCACAGCCTAAGCTGAGCTGTTACAATACAGAAAGAATCAGAATGTAGATCAGTACTGACATCATGACCAGGGAAACCAAAACCAAACCAAGAGCCCTCCCCTCCTGGCCTGGTCAGCAGGTTAGATGCTACAACTTCAGCAGAACGCCAGGCCGTCACACAAGTTTCCATCTGATTTTAAACCACAGCAGCTGACCAGAAGTGGACCACAACAAAGTACCGACTCAAGCAAGCCTTAAACTGTTCGGTGATAATTGCATGTAATAGGGCACGCTCTGCATTCCAGCTAGTTTAAACAACATGGGCAGCCATAAAGAAGTAAAGCACAAACAAACAGCAAAACAAATTTTTATCTTAGAACAAACCATGTGTGTGCCTTGCAGCATGTCAGGTCACGGGAGTCTGAGTGCTGGAGCTCCTCTTAGCAACACACAAGCACGGACTGCAGCAGCCAGGAGCCCCTGCTTCCAACCAGCTGGCACAGACAGCAGGGACTAGAGGAAACATTCACAGAAAGCAAAGCTAAACAGCACTGATAGTAAGAAGAAAAGTGCATGTCATAAGGTAATTAATCCAGCATGGAGAGTGGTCTAAGTATAAAGAAATGTAAAAGAATTAAACAAACCAAATATTAATCTAAGCAAACCTAATCTCCTCCTGGGAGTAGGGACATGAATCCCTTCTGCAACAGCAGGGAGGAGAGGAGTTGTAGTCTCATGAATACAATCTGTCAACAAATACAGGAAGAGAATAATAAAAACATTATTTATTAAACATATCTCCTAATTACTTTTAATATTGCACTTCCAGTGTGGTTTCCAGAAAATTCTTAGAACATATTACCTTTTAAAAACCAATAACAAAACCATGTACCTGAGAAACTCAATGTAGAAGGCCTTTCTAGGCCTTCCTCAAAAAATAATTTTGAAATTAAATATATGTATACCTATATATATATATATACACACACACACATGCTGCTACAGTTTGTCAACTCCAGGCTGCAGAAACAGAGAGGTGCTCAAAGAAAGGCTGAAACCAGAGGAGAAGTGAAAGGATAAGGCAATATTCGTGGTGTAACAACTGCAGATACCAGAAAGCACGGTGAAGTCACCAAGAAGAAACAAGACTCACATTCTTTAATAATGAATATAAAAAAACCCAAAACAATAAAAAATAGAGGAGTTGATTCTATAAACAACTAATACAGAGCACAACAACCCCATCTGTAACTACCCATCTGGTTGTTCCTGTATCTTGTTTCCATCTAACCCAAAAAGCAACAGAGATGACTCATACATCACATTTCTGATATTACATTTACTCAATAATGAGCACACCTTAGCTCTTGTATCTACCGGTAAAAACAGAGTTTAAGCAGAATCTACTTAAGAGTTCCATTGACAAATATATTGTATTTAATTGCCTGCAAGGTCTGTGCTGCACAAGACACACAAATTTGTAAGGATGCAATCAAAATCTTAGCAAGGTCTGGTAGAATTTAAGTGCAAATAAATTCACCTTTAAACACAGTGACTCAGAGAAACGCATGAGATAAAGGTGCCTCGTGTACTATGAACCTCCTGTTCTTTTCCAAATCAACAGCTTGAATTATTTATCCTCATGTGAGCCAAGAGATCCTATACCTCTGGAAGTCAATAGAAGCGTTATGAGGAGATTCATCAGTCAATGCAGAAATCGAAGTTCTCATCTGATTCTGAGTTCCTGTGCCTGTTGTCCCAGAACATTCCACATTACTTCATTAGCTGTTTTAGCAGGTCGGCTCTTGCAATGGTTCTGCTCACTTTGAAACTTGCTGGAGGGGTCATTTCAGAGAGTTACAGTTATCTGCAGAAATGCATTTTTTTTCCTTTCAAAATTAATTTTGGTGACATATAATTTGTTCTGCCTCCAACCTGTTGAACAGCTTGTGGAGATTTTTTTCACCAGCTGCTACAGAGGCAAACAGCAAGGAAAGGTGATTTCAACAGAACCACATCATGAGTGTGGTTTTTCAGCCATGCCAGTTGACTGGTTTGGAGTGGTATCAAAATGACAGCAGATGTGATTTTGCCTAAGGTCCAGGCACCTCCAGAGACTACCTCACTGTACTGCTCTGCTAAAAGACCTTTGGGATGTAAAACAGTTGTAATACACAGACAAATCCAGTGGATACACACAGTTATACAAGGAAGATTTTACATGAGTGCCCATTTTGATGAACGCTATAGATGGCCTGCTCTAGTTGAGGAAGAGTCCTTTGTTCCAGTATCACCCTGTGATTCTTGTAACAACCTTGGCTGATGCTCATGTTGTGGCCTGCTGGGAGTTTCTGGAGCATTCAGCTGATAGGATTCCTTTGTCTCAGTCCTCAGACATCCTAAATGCCTTAAGCAAGAGTCTCTCATCTTGACAAAGTTCAGGTAAGTGCTTTCGCTGGAAAAACAGTACAGTACAGGGTCGGCAATGCAGTTAAATGTAGTCAGCAGGAGAGAAGTATGGTAAATGTTAAATATCTTGCCAGCAAATGAGCAGTTGCTCTCAAACACACTGCGAATTACAAGTAGGATGTGGTATGGTCCAAAGCAAACTAAAAAAATGAAGACAGTGCTCGAAACCAAACGTTTAATTTGGAGTTTCTTCTTCTTCTGAGTGCCGTGACTTCTGTGGACAACTCGTAAAATGCCACAGTAAGAGAAGGCGAGCAGAAAGAAGGGGAAAAGGAAGCCAGCAGAGAAGCGGTAGTAATTGATACTGTGCTCCCATTCTTTGATGGGGTAATGCTCGAAGCACACCACATGGCTCTCGGCATCCATACTGATCTCCCCATGCACAAAGACAAACGAGCACGTCACTATTTCTTTGGTCCAAATAATGGCACTCACAATCATAGCAGCCTTCATTGTCCGAAACTGATGAAACCGAAAAGGGTGCACCACTGCCAGATAGCGGTCAATGGAGATGCAGCAGAGGAAGCCCACACTGATATAGATATTCTCATACAAGAGGATGCCACAGATTTTGCACAGCAGTTCATCGTAGGTCCAATTGTCATGCTGTAAAACATACTGGATCCAGAAAGGCAAAGAAAATATGTAAAACAGGTCTGCTATGGTCAAATTGCAAAGGTAGATACCCAACTCATTTTTAGCCTTGATCTGTAAGTACCCATAGTATAGTGACAGGCAGTTAGCTGGGAATCCTATGATAAATACAAATATGTACACCACGGGGGATAATGTCTGGTGAATATTATGATCAATAATGCACTTTTCAGTTGCATTCTCTGTGAAATTCAACATCTTCTGCCTCTCAATGTACACCATTAATCAGCGTCCCAAATGAATAGATGTAGAACTTAATTTCATCCAGTTTGATGTATCACTTTTCATCCACAAAAACCTCAGGTTGAAGAGATGCCTTGCCACAGGATGTTAGTAACCTGGTGGTAAAACATACGAAAACCTTGAGGAGGAATATCATTATCAAACGATCAGTTTTCAGTGAGATGCCTTTTCTAAATTGTCTTACAGTGTTTAACAGAAGATAAAGCCTGTTTGGGAAATCATGATTTGTATCAGTAAGCCCTGGGAGTGTGTTCTGTCAAAGAATTCCAAAGCGATTTACAAGCAGTTGTCACCTTAGCTTTACGAGTATCTAAATGGTGAAGAAATGTCATCTCCATTTTGCAGATGAGGCAGAAAAGCAGTAATCTGATCTGATCAAAATGGAACAATTCCTCTGGCAGAACAGCAGTCCTCTAAGACTTCCTTAGAGGATGCAGGGTGAGCAAAACCATTGCTTTCTTAATTTCCATTTCTGGAATTTCCCTTTAGATACAAAATATCATGGTATATGCAGCTCAACCCATCAGGATGATGAGAGTGGAATTTTTAGCAGCTGCTTTTACAGTTAAGTATAAACACGGTCCTGAAAGCGAGCTGTCTGTAGGAAAGACACCATAAAAATCTGTCTTAATGCATCAGCCCTACAGAATATGCCATTACTGGTTCCTTATCTGCCACAGGCTCTGAAAACCAAACATTATCTGTATGTTTGATCTTTTCATTTTATCAGCGCTGAAAACGAATGCAATTATTTTCACCTGAAGAATCTTTTGTGATCCACACACAGACTCATGCAGATCCTTTCCACATTATGCCATTACTGTTTAATGCATTTTTAAAAACCAACTGTTGACAACAGTCATTTGGTTTGGTCAAGATAAGTGTTCAGCCTTCAGCCTATCCGCTGTGATTAAACCCCAGACTAAATGAAGTATCATTTTCATCCTTCTATCACCTCACGCGATGTGTTCATTCACTTTGGCACAAGTGCTCAAGACTGTGCCCCAGGTTTAGGGGGATGTGTGTTTTGTGTGATGACATAAACCAGTGGGATTCATTCTTTTAACCACTGCCAGAAAATACACAGCTGTCGTGGACACTTAGGTGAGGTTAGCAACTTGTATACTCTTTACAAAACTTCAGTTAATATGGATTGAAAAGCAGACTGCATTGTCAGGAACAGAGAAAAGTCCTTGCTGTTTGTTTCCCATTTACAATACATACCTGCATTTTTGTAATCATCATCTGTTCTCTGTGGGAACAAACAATTTTTTCCAAGGTAATCCTTATGAAAACGTGACCATGGTACTGTAAAATTACTGTGATTGGCAGCATTTGAGGATGTTACTATACAATAAATTCTTCTGTGAGTGTTGTAGTTTTTTGTTTTGTTTGTTTGTATTAGCTTTTGTTTTTTAAAATAATCGTAGGTTTCAGTTTCAAAGAAATTGAAAAGAAAATCACTTCCTTAAGGCTGACAGGACTGACCAAACCTGAAAAGATGTACAGCGTTCAGCCTCAGTCACTGTACCATAGTCCCACTGAAATCACAATGAACTTAAGGACAGACTTCTTCCTCTTTTTCTTGCCAACAAAAAGAATATCAGCCCTGGATTCCTGGAGTCTCAGGTAGCTTCAACCACAAAGTGAAGGCCAGGTTAAGTTCCTCTCTCTTGAACTTCATACTGCATTGTTCATCGCTATCTGCCTTAGCGCAGCACAGTGCGAGCTCTGCTCCCCTTGTTCTCATACAGCCACCTCAGGGATGCACCTACCTCAGAATCACCCCCTCCTCCACAGATGGCACAAGTGTTACTGCAGCTCTACCAGGCACAGCAGCAGAAATGTGAGCCAGCCACAGATCGTCCTGGCTTAGCTTGATGTTTGCTCCAAGAGATTGCCATAACCCTCCCTGCAGAATAGCAATGATAATGCGACCATTATCACACACATGCAGCAGAAAGCAATGAAGTTACATGCAGATTTCCCAAAGCACTGCTACTTAGGGAGCATCCTCTCTTTTCTGACACCATTCCATGCATCCTGTGTCTCAGTGGCTGCATGACTGCTGTGTGACTTCTTCACCTACAGGAGATCTGGCTTCATGCCTGCAAGCACAATGCACAGAACCAGGTTTGACAACCTTACTTTTCCCCTCACCTTTTTCAATCCAGGGCTCCAGGACAAGTGCAGTTGTATTTGACACTGTATTTAATACAATTTATGTTCAATAATTCGGTGATTTTGACATGTAAGAGTTTGTCTGAGCAGACGATGGACATACAAACATACAGTGAAAAGTGCCTAAACATCTGCAGGTCCCTCATTTAATCGAACAACTAGAAGCATCCAGTCAGTGCCCAGCTCCTGCTAATAGGGCCAACTTACAGTAAGTTGAAAGCTGTCAATAATTTTCAAAAGGCAAAACTGTCTTTATACATTCATAGTTCTTGAGCTCGGTTTTGTTCTGCGTTACCCTGTAAGCCAATATGGGCCACAGGATGAGAAAAAGCAGATATACTCTGCACTGTTGCACTGTTGCACTGTTGCACTGTTGTTTGCTGTTGTTTCTTTTTTTTCTGAAAATGCTTCTTTTTCTGTAAGAATTCAAAATGTTTTTATTAAATTACATTTATGTCACAAAGAATGTGATTGTAAAATTCATATCTGTTCAGCTTAGAAGTCTTGCCAGAATTGCAGAAAGTGAAAAACACAAAAAAAGTCTCATTGATACGATATTGTCCTAATATAATACACACTTCTGATTACAGTGATGTTTCCTGCTCCTGGAGGAAGTGCTGCAGCGTGCTGTTTCAGAGCCAGGAAGAGAAAGCTGCCTGTTACGTAAACAGAAGTCCAGATTCTTGTTTGCACAATAGCTGTTTTATGCTGCTCTCTGGAAGAAGAGAGCTTGGAAAATTCCTCCCTTGTTTCAGCCTCCACAGCATGCAGGCTCTGGGACACTGCTGTGCCTTCTGACCAGTGACCAAATGAGAAATGCAGTTTCCCTTTCCCCATTTTCCCCCTTAGTCCAAGTACGTTAACACAGCTCTGTACTGGCCAGGGAATGGAACTGCAAGTTTTCTCAAGACTGATACCAAAACACTGTGATTATGACACTCATCAGATGGTTCAGAAGAGTGATCTTTGAAGACCATGCTGTTACTAAGAATATAATACACAATACCTTACAAGCTCCCTAAATGATGGGAAACTCAAGGAAAGGTGATGCCGGGTATAGGAAAGAGGAGACAAATAGTCCTGTATTACTTACTAAGCTAGCTTGGGTAGTGGGAGAAAAATAAAAAAGTTGCTCTGAGAAAAACATCTGGGGTGCAGATAATCATTAAGCTGAGAGCAGCTATGGCTGGGAACACACAGGCATTCCATTTAGACAACTTCAATATGGAAATAGTGCAGCTGTGTTGTTTTGTTTTTAAGAGCTTAGTTTATATAACACCTTCGGTATCACAGGTCTACAGACATTTCCCAGCAAGACTTATCTCTTTCTTATGCCCACCCTTTTTCAGTGTTACCTATCTAAGCCCAACTCTTGGAAAGAAATATCTAGATGAGCTCCAAACATTTCTCTTGTTTCTAGGTAAAGAAGCCAACAATCTCAGGGCTTTAGACAGCTTAACTTTTTCTCAGTCAAAGTAAGCCAACTTTCATTACTCACTGGACAATTCAAAAGCAGGTTCTTTTTTTTTCCCCAAGTCCTTTTGTATCCTGTTGACAAAGCCATGATTCCCTCCCACACCATGAGCTCATAGAACAACTCACATTTGGCAATAGCCAAGGAATGAGCCCAAGGCCACCGGCACCAACAGCCCGTTCAGCTCTGAGTAATACTGTGGAGACTGGGTGTTTTTTCTCAGTTCCAGTGAACATTTCCTACAATTTTCTCATAAGAAATCTGATACAATTAGACCTACACATTTTCGCGGTGACAAATGGAACTATACATCAAAGGACTTCTTTGTACATGTTTGCAAAAGATGAGCACACAGCTTGTCTCATCTGCAAAAGCACTTGTTACCATGAATGGGGAGGATAATGTGGTTGTGTGCCTTCATGTCATAGTAGATCTCTTGCTGTCCCTCCACCTGTCACACATCACAAACAGACCTGAGTCACTCGACCTTCATAGCAGCTCTTGGACCACACTGCACAAAATCTGAGATTTGGTTCAGATCATTATCTGGATAAACATTAGCCTTTAGACTCCCACATCAAATGGGCAGAAGTCAGCTGGCCCACACCTGAGGGTTTGTGGCATGAGGTGGGGTGATTGTAAGAGCTCCAGTAGCAAAGCTGCTGCACGGCAGGAAAATGGCAAAGCTTACTAAATGTTCCTTCCACAAAACATAACCATGCTTTTAGGGCTATTTTAACAGAAGTTTTCTGCCCCTTCCCACATCCTCCACATACAAGGAAGAGCTCACATTGTAATGGGGTGATGATCTGGTAGAGAGAGGAGAAAGAAGGACCAACCATTCCTTCGTATCTCCTTTCTTTCTGAAATCTATCATTGTATCTCACTACTTGAGATAGCTAATACACTTAGAGAAAATCCCCCTAAAATTGTAGAACAAAGTGAAAATTGGGGGCATGACTAAGGATGACTATAAGGAAGTGGGACAACAATGCTTGGATTAAACCAGAGGAATTATGTAAAAGGGTCACAAGTGGAAAGAGCCATGAAAGGCAATAAAGGATGTTTCTGTGCTTCATTGGACAGAAAATCCAATTCATACTGGAATATTCAAATTCCTTCTTCCACAAAAAAAAAAAAAAGAAGGGAAAAGAAATCCAAGCACATGAGGCAGAAGCAGAGATTATAGATCTAAGCACAACTGAAATATTTGCTGTTATTTCTTATTTCAGAAGCAAATCTTCAGAAGCAAAATTGTGACAAGATCTTACGGCCCCTAAGAGTGTGAAACACACTGCAACAGAAAGCACACAGAAATTTTGTCAAACATTTATGGGAAGAGCAGTTGGCTGCAAGGAGTTTTGTTTCTGCTTTCTACTGGTTTTGTTGCAATCAGGCAATCTTTGCTATATTTTCATTCCTTTTTTTTTTTTTTTCAGACTTTTTTTCAGGGTTTTTTGTTTGTTTGTTTGTTTGTTTTGCAATAGAAGTACAAACTCTACATGTCCCTCTATTTGCAAGAAAGTCACGTCAGGGCATACAGTACATGAAGGACTGTATCTTTTTAAGCCCAAGAAACCATCTCACATAAATTTCCCACATTTTCTCCTTACATTAAATTCATTTCTAAACTTCACTTAGGTCTTTGCACAACTTGTTAACGTGTGAGGGGACAGCTTTTCCAGCAGGAATGTCTTCCTACAACAGTAACTATTCCTCTAAGCATTTGTTTCAGTGGGAGGAAACCAGAGGAGTATTCTAATAATTACAAATCACTTTACTTTTGTTGTTATTGTATGACAGTAAGTCTATTGTTAAAACAGGAAGCCAGCAACATTTTTTCAGAACCCACATAAACAAAAGACCAATTAGTCACCAATGTCCAATTCTTCCTAGCACAGCCATGCAATTATTCACAACATTGGGTAAATCACTCAACTGCTCGAACTTTGATATCTTGGGAATTTGTCTCAACTTCTTAATTTCTGTTTATCATCAAGCTTCTCCAATGTCTGAAGTAAGGCAGTTGCATTTCATCTCTAAAACTTCTGATCTGAACCACAGTCATGGTGTAGTTCAGGGCTTCATGCCTGTAAATGTCAGTAGGAACTGATAATGCAGATTTGAGTAGCAGCTTCATGTCAAAATCCTTTATTTGTAAACCCTTCCTTTTTCTTACAGTGAACTCAATGCTTGATGAAAGCATTAGATTGGACATCAAACATGCGTGACGTTTTTTTAATATAGTATTCCATTACAAAAATGTAAAATGTTATGGCATGAAGTGGGTATGCCCAAACATTGCAACACATTAGCAAATGCAAATGTTTGCTCCTTGTTCCTCTGGTCGTTAGTCACATCCTCCTCTATCTCTAACTTTGCCACCTCACACATTCTCCTCCTGGAGAACATTTTAATGGCTTCATTTGCTGCCTTACAGTGTATCAGGTGTATCATTAAATGTTCTATGAAACAGCTGAAATGTGTGACCTGTGAAGCCTAGTGTAAGCACTATGGCCGGATTGATGCAAGGTAGCTAGAAGCCAATAGTCCCTGTATATTAGAAAATGAATTAACTAAAATATTTTAATGACCTCAAAAATTAGTTCTAATACTCATTTCCCAATAGCAATGACATGGTGATGTAGTATAATCTTGCCAGTGCCCTGGCTCACAGATCATAAGGCTTAGTAAGAAATATCTAAATCACTATAGACAATAAGCCTATGCATTCTACATTCAACTTAATTCATAAGCCAAACAAATGTTCAATTAAGCAGGGAGCTACTTAGAAGGAACAGAACTGAGTACTTCTGAACAGTTGTGAGGGAGCCAAAGTATCACCAGCAGAAATTCATGGCAACACAGCACCCCAGATGCTACTCTGGGAAAGGTCACAGGGATGGGCTTGTTGAAACACAACATTCACATTCCTGGAAAACAACAATATTTCAGAGAAAAAAAATCCCAGAACACCCGAGCAGATTATCAGCCTAACCTAACCTTTGTTCTTTTGATTAGAACACTGAGTATTCCTCTTAAATGATGTGCAAACTGCATGGAGATATGAGATATTACATACTATATCTGAAATGAGAAGTCATTAACAAAGCAAATGCTACCTTACAGCAGAAAACTAGTAAGGATAAAGGGATTGCAGTGATCATATATTGTCAACAACATATTTTTGTAAAAATACAAGAAAAAAAGCAAATTATCCTGGGATGTGCAGGAGCTATGGGTGCTACCTCTCTATC